GTAGCCAAACCTTTGCTTAAGCATGGCAGGGTCCACTGAGCCCTGAGATCTCCGTTGCAGAGAACAGGGCTTTCTCTGAGCCAGGCTGCTGTGCCCAGGCGGTGTGGGTGACATGTGACTGCTACTGAGAAAGGGGATTTCCTCTCTTTCACCAGTGCTAGCACAGCTACACTGCAAGAGTGGACAGTGGTCACCACAACACCTCAAGCAGGTCTGATCTCGCCTGACTTTAGATGGCTGCCTATGAACTAACCATCCAGGCTGCCTTCCCATCAGCAGAGAGAAAGAGCGTGATTAGCTTACAACTCCCTCTAAAGCAGACATAGTAGACATAAATCATGACACCAAACTGCCTTTCTCCACAGGGCCAATAAAGGAAGCCCAAAGGGATGCAGATGTTAAAGTCTACACTGGAGATAAATTAAATGGGATGAACCTTACCCTTTGCTTCTGCCCCTGCATCTTCCCACCTCAAAGGCCTTATTAATATGTCATAGTAAATAATATGTATATTGATTATAAATATGCTAATAAAAACAAAGGACTAAAGAGTGTGTGAAGAAGAGGAGAAATAAGTACAGGGTAGCTGCATGTCTGATCAATACCAATCCACAGGGAACAGTCATTTCTCTTTGCCACCATTTTAACTGTAATATATCCTACCCTCTGGGTAAATATGTGGACATTTACAAGTGGGAATCAATAGAAGCAGAGATCTTCCCACCCCCTCACCCGGAGAGACCATTCTTCTTCCCTTGGAGCAGACAATAGCAAGAGGCCATACATTAACATCTCTGCTACTACAGGCTATCTGGCATATCCACAGCTTTCTTCTGGGCCTCTCTGATTTCTTTTTAAGCATCGATGCTTTTAATAATTAACAAAAAACCAAAACAACTGTTCACACTGATAAAGAAATGCATTAACATTTTACCTAACTGGAATAAAGCAGATGCCCATTTTGGGAACCCAGAGCAAACAGCTTCAGTGGAAGGTGAAGTTCTAGAAACAACATTCAGTTGACAGGGGGAAAAAAAAATTAAAGCCCAAAAGCTCTGCCTGCATGCACAGGATTTTGTCCCAGGCACATCACCAGCTAGTGAGTTTGTATGCCTCCAGGCTTGCAGATGGACAAACAGTTGTCCCAGTCAGATCTAGATAAGGCTTTAAAAGCAGTGGAAGCTGTTGCGCTGGCCTCAGGGAGCTTCGAGTCACTCCTCCCAATGTTCCCACATACCTTACAGTCCAGGGACATACCCTGTGGGACCTGAAGGTTTTTTCCTTCCCCCAGATCATGTCAATATCACCCAATGTGGCTGTCTTTTTTTTTTAAATTCATTTTTTTCCAGAAACTTTATTCTGGGGCTGCCTAAAGCTGGACGGGCAGCAAGACTACATATGTACACAGAGACTTCTGCCATGCATGCAAAGGAAAGCCAAAGCACTCACAAGCACAACACAGCAACTGTGCCTCGATTTCTGTCCTGTATCTGTGGGTAGATTTGTGGGATCTGAGGCATACCACCCACACGGATAAAACTGGCCAGTTCCCATCATGCAGCTTGGAGATGCCCCTGTCCCACAGCCCAGGTCCCAGCTCGCACATGGAGAAAGGAAACACCATTTACTTTCAGAATGAGCAGACTTCCTCTCGGCTCTCAGCAGAATATCCAAAGCTGAGCTAGATTACATGTGTGATCTAATATTAGCTGTTTTCACGCCATCAGTTATACTTATTACCTTATCTTCCATGAGCAGATATTAACCATCAGGTTCCAGGTATTAGCTTCCAAAAAAATGGTTTATAAAAGTAAACAGACTTCAGAAAAGTGAAGGGAAGGTGGATCGCAGGTTGGTTTGGTTTTTTTGGTTTTTAAACTCATACCATTTATAGTGAATTCACGTTCATCATCTCACATTGGGGTGGGTCACTGGCGCCAATAAATCAAGCCCTGGTTTATCAAGTCACTTTCAAAGGATTGATGAAGAGAAAATGAGAACTATGTAATCCACATTTGCTCACTAAGATTTCATTAAAAAGCTACCTCCCTCGGAGGACTTAACAGCCACCATACTCACTCCTTTAGAAAAGCACTAAACAAGTGAAGCAGTCCTGCTTAATACCTAGAAAAGCGAAGCACCACACAAAGCCACACTGATACCACTAGTAGGGTGAGCACATTGCAGGACTTTCCAGCTTTTCCATATGCAAAAGTGTTCCAGCAAACAGCTCACCATGCCTTGCCTCCACCAGTTGTCCAAGGCTTCTGCTGTGTTCTCACCACAGATGCTAAATTCTGCCCTGTATACATTTAAGGTCCCCCACCACCCCTGTAAGGGAGGTATACAAGGGCTGTTCACTGTCGTAGTAGTTCAACCAGTTGGGCAGCTTCTGTTTTATTCACCGGCTAGTTATCCAGTGTTTTAAAGACATGAGACAACAGCAAACCAGACTGAAGTTGGCAACCTAAAAATGAAAGGCCACACTTTCTCCTCTTCCTCCCTTCCATTTATCCCAGGTGGAAAAAAAATCATCAGGAAAAGGAGTGTAAAAAGCCTGAGATCTAAGCTGCACGCACGGAAGTCAGGTATCGGGTATTTCTTCTCCGGCACCAGGAGACATGGAAGGCTGCTCCGTGACAGCCCCACTACCCGCTCGACTCTTGGGTTTGTTTTCACGTTCACCTGCCGGGATCTTCCACATTGTCACAGGCTTAGCAGAACTGCCGCTCGGTCCCAGGCAAGTCCCCTCCCAGACTTCATGCTGTCAGTCAGAAAAGGGGCCTGATAAGCTTTCATTTGCATATGTATTGAGAGGCATTTCCAAAGGCAGAGTCTGGGAAATGGCCTTGCTGAATACCGATGCTATCTGAGAATGACAACTATTCAAGTCATTCTACAGCTTCACTACCTAAGCGGAGAGATCAGACTTGTTTGCCTCTTTACAAGGATTATTAGCTTTAAAAGTGTTGATCACATCTGTCCCACCCTCAGAAAGGAAGGTTTGCAGCTTCAGTTCTTCCCACAGATCATCTTCCACAGACACTCCAAAACCAGAAGTCACTAAAACCTGAGGTCACATCTGAAAGGCTTGAGCCCATACTCCCCCTTTCTATAGAGGAGCAGGGGAAAGGGTGCAGAGGCACACATGGAAACATATACATGTGCGGATGCTCTACCACCCCCCTACACAGGGTGGGACATGAGACTCAACACTGAGTCTCCTCCGAATGATGCTGCTGGGCACCGTCCCACACACAGCGTTTGAGGATGGCAATGAGGACTGAGCTCTGCCAGCAGCGATATTCCTCTTCATGCAGACAGGAATGACTTGAATCCCACGCAAAGAATTCCACAGTGCCTCACACCGGGTTTAAGGGACAGCTCTGACGCCACGCTCGTGTCCCATATGCTCAAGAGCCCTGGGTTAACAGGAATTAATTTAACTGGCTTTGTCCTACTCAGCTGTCGATAACTAAAAGGGATGTGGTCTAAGGTTCACAAACCAGAACTGCAACGCCCTTCTGTCCCAAAACAGTAACGGCACATTCAGTATCTGCCCAGGGCTCTCCAGGCCTCTGTGCAGAGTAATCAATGCTTTAATGAAAATAAAGTCAAGTCACATCAGGAGCAGAAGCTATCTGCAGATTTAAAAACCAGATACTCTCACGGGGGGGTGGGGGTGAGGGAATGGATGTTGAGAGAGAACAACAAACATGTAAAGATGCTGGCTGTACATCTGGTGACTAGATCACCCTTTAAACCAGCAATCCCTGCATACTGGGTGAGATAGCCAGAACATCTCCAGCTGTGAGTGGAGAGACACAGCTGCAGGACCCCACATGGCAAATTCAGAACTTGAGAACTGGGTTGATCAGTGCTGCGTGCTCTCTATCTCTTGGGGCATAAGCACTTGTCAGAACTCACCAGAAAAAGGACCAACACTCTGGTCCCCACACAACCACTAAAAGCTCTGGGAGCTGAAGGCACGGTTATCTGGTAAACAAAACCACTGCTGACACCAGTTGGAGCCAAGTTCTTGGGCTCCAGCCCCACCTCTGTGCTTGGAAGAGGGGAAGGGGTACCCCAACGAGAAAATAGTCTTTGGTTGGAAAAGAGGATTAAGAGCATTAAAAGGAGTCTTACATACAACAATTAATTAGATTGGTGCCTGCTTTGATTGCTATTGAACCCTCTTGGCCGAACTACTCCTTCTAGAAGTCAAGCATTTGGTCTTCTTGGTTTCAAAAGACAAAAAAAATCTCCATTTTAAAGACATTCCAATATAATTATTTTAATGCCTGATCACTATTAGACAACAGGAGAAACTTTGCTTGAATACCGACTGTCAGAGGAGGCTTGGCACGATTTCACAGTGGAGCTTGTTTCTAACTTTAATGACTAGGCTGAACAAAATTGTGAGTACAGCGTCCCTTCGAGAGCAATCTCTTCTCTACAAACAAACCTCCTGTTTCTGAAGCGGAACGGGGGAATCGGCACAAGCTGAGTTGCACCTCTCCAAAACTGCCAGCCTGCCCGAGAGCCCACGGAGCTTACAGGCAATGCTCTGTGGGGCAGACCTGCACTTTCATCACATGCCTCCAAAATCTCATCCAGGCTCTTTATCAGTCTTAGCAAACTAGCAAACAAACAAGCCAAACGTAAACCAAAATATTTAAAGGGGGAGAGAGCGGAGGAAGAGAGAGAGAAATCAGTGTTTACTTAACCCTGAAAACTCGGGCTCGTTTTTGTCAGAAACACCCCAAACCAACCAACCAACACAAACCACCAACCCTCCAGATAAAAAAGGCTCCAAGCCGCAGCCCCAGACATCGACAACACAATCAAGGAGCACACCCCCCCCTCCGCGCACAGGTGCCCCTCCCCGGCCCTGCTCGCCCAAAGAGGGGCCCAGGGATGGGCAGGGGTGGGGACGGCAAGGCCTCCCCTCTCCTGGCACCCCAAAACCACAGCCCCGGGGTCCGGGGGGATGGGCTCACCGTTGAGGCCGTTGGGGATGCTCCGGTGGTGGAGGGGCGCGGACAGGTCATCCATAGACCTCCGCATGGCCCCGGCCTTGCTGTCGCCGGCCTTGTGGTGGTGGAGGTGGTGGTGGTGGTGGTGGTCGGGGCTGCCCGCGCTGCCCGTGCTGGAGGTGCTGCTGCCGTCCCCCACGTCCCGGGTGGCCGAGCCGCCGTTGAGGTTGGTCAGGCTGGCCTGGCTGTCGATGGAGCTCCGCGAGCCGGCCCCGCTCCGCTCCTCGTCCAGCATGAGCACCATCTCCTTCAGCTCCACGTTCTCCCGCAGGAGGGTCTCCTGCCTCGCCTCCAGGTCCTTCAGCTTCTGCTGGTACATGCCCACCTCCTTCCACATCACGCTGGCCGTGTGCCTCCCGAAGCGCTGCCATTCCCTCGACAGCTTCTTGCCTTTCTGCCGGTCGTCGTCCAAGAAGCAGCAGAGCTCCCTCAGCTCCTGGTTGTCGTCCTGCAACTTCTGGTTCACCTCCTTCAGCCCGCGGATCTCGTGCAGGTGGAGCTGCAGCCGCCGGTTCACGTCCTTCATCAAGTTGCCGTGTTCCACCATTAAGTTCATCTTTTCATTCTCCACTTTCCTCAGTCTTTTCACCAGCTCTTCCTTGCTCCACCTCAGCATCTCCTCTTCCGAAATTTTGCTCAGGTCTTCTTTAGACCCTTCCAGGGAATTTTTTGCCATCATCTGTGCCTAGGCAGCGTGTGCTCTCACACGGTAACAAATGGTTCGGGTTATTCTTCGGATTATTTTGTTCGCTTGATTTCCTGGGACTAAAATTCACTGCAGCATCTCGGGGAAGAAATATTATAGTTCTCCGCAGAGCGTTGGACAAGGCAAAAGAGCAACGCCGGACTGCAAGATCTGCTCCCCCACAGACCCCATCATAATAATAATAATAATAATAATAATAATAATAATAATAATAATAATAATAATA